TAAACTCTATTTTACATCTGTTTAACGGCATTCGATGAATGAAGCGGATTAACGCATTAATGTGCTAACCTGGATAGTTTCTAAATCACTGAAACGATTTCTTCATGCTAAACCAGTAAATATTTTAAAAGAGGGTTATCATTTGAATGAATAAATAAACAATATATCCGAATAATGGATTGGGGGGGGGGGGTTCCCACTTAATTTGTAGGTTTAATCTTCGTCTTTGCCGATATTTTTATCGTTGATATCTTATTAAACCACTTAATAAATACGTTTAAAAATGAAAATGTCGAAATGAATAGTCACATAATCGACACCATTCATGCAAAACAATTTTAACACGTTCACTGTCCTAATGCTAAATTAAATCTAAAGTTATCAGTCCTATGATCCATATATGGGTCACGTTAAACCTATTTTAGTAGTCCATGATCCACATGTGGTTCATTTCAAACATTTATTTCTCAGGAGATTTATTTGTATGGACTATATTCTATGAAATTCATAATAACACAGTTGGACAGGTGAGATGATAGGGACTTAATTAATTAGTTAATTAATAAATTAGGGACTTATCTATAAATAAATCATGTACCACGTAGGGGTCATCGGACAGTTAACGTGTTAAAATCATTTTTTTAATTCAGATTATCATTATTACTATAAAGAACATAGATAAATACTACATAGTTTGTATTTAAAATCATGTGTTAAAACTTTTTTTTCTGTATGGACTAACGATATATTTTAAAACACTGAACCAATTTCTTCGTGTAGCAATTCTCTAAATCAGAAATCTTACATGTAAGGTACTTAATTGGGCCGAAAACTCATCCCTTAAAAATTACAGGGCACTATACATTTTAAATATTAGTTAAATTAGTTTCAAATTTGTATGGAATTCTTTTTAAACATAGTACTACCGTTAAACATTGATAAACCAAAATAACTATCATAAACTCTTTCTCCTAGAAGGGATAGACATTTTTTTGACATTTTTATGTCTTTGCTATGGCACACACGGAAAATCGACACCGACACCGATACCGCTTATCATAACGACACCGGTTATCATAACGAAAAATAACAGGGGATGAGAGTTAAGGGGTAAGAGATAGAGGATGAGAGTTAGGAGATTAGAGATAGGGGTGAGAGATAAAGGGTGAGTGATAGAGGGTAAGAGATAGGGGATGAGAGCTAGGGGGTAAGATATGAGGGTTGGGGTTTGGGTGGGAATGGGGGGTGGCATATATGTTGTATTAACAACGGTCAAAATAGAAATGAAAAAAAAATTCAATTATTTAAGGGGCCAAATTCTCTATGAATTGTTTTGGGCCAGATATTATAAAAACACTAAAATATTAGCCAGAAACTTGATATGTTTACTAGCCACCTTAGGTACATAAATATGTATCCCGTGGTATTGCGGACTCGTACGCAAGCTATATAATACTTTAGATACATTTTAATTTAACTTTTTCCAGCAAAGCTTTAATGATTTAAAATTAGTCCGTAAGTAAATCTAGAATGGAACTATAATATATGAAATTTTTTCAAAAATCTTTAGACAACATTTTTTTTTTTATTCAGGAAAACCCCAAAAAAGGAGAAAATTTATATGACATTACATTTTTTTACATAGATGATCAACCCTAATCGTATCTACCCTAATACTAAAAATTATTAATAAACCTCCTGGCTCTTCTTACTTACTGCTACTACTACTCAGTTACGTACAATTCTTTCTTACTGTGCTGGTTTATTCTATGCTTGGTTTGGACAGTACATGTTAAACCTACTGTTAACAGATTCGCGTCGGCCAACGAAGCGTTTATTTAAAAATAATTTTATCACTATCAAATAAATCTGGTTCACCTGAAAACTCGTTGATAACGTCAAACATTGTAACATTGCCAAATTATACACTTCCTTTAACCCTTCTTTTGTTCCCAATCTCTCATACAAACTATCATACTTTTTTAACTTTGCTTCCCTAACTACCTTTTTTGCTTCTTTAATTCATCTTTTGTACTTCAACCAATCATCTCTCCTCCTGTTTTTTTTTTACTATTTGTGATCTATTCCTTCCACTCTTATAAGTTATATAATGTTCTTATCATTTTCTATAAAAAGTATTCACAACTGCCATCTCATATTTCTGCGCAAAATCAAGTACTCTCTCGTCCATATAATTTCTCTCTTTAAACCATAACCTCCGTGTACTGTTTCATACCATGTCTTATCACTCCCTAGATGTCCATTCATATCACCACCTATCACAATTTGCTCTTGTCCTGATATTCCTTGCACCACCTCATCCATCAATCCTAATCTCATTTCCTAATTTAAATTTCAACTCATTAATTTTTTAATATTTTCTGCACTTTTTAATTTTTGTGGCTAAGACAATGAATTTGGACATAATGTTTTTGCATGTGAGAAGACGATATTTTTGTCGAGGGAAACTTGATCAAAAACCTTTTTCAGCCGAGTTTGCAACCATGAAAGAGCATTTTCATGTCTCGTTGAAGTACCGAATAAATTTAGAGTAGTGGTGGAATTATTATAGATAGTGAAATAGTATATTAACAAACAGTAACAAGTTAGTATCTAAGGTGACTAGTAAACATATCAAGTTTCTGGCTAATATTTTAGTGTTTTCATAATATCTGCTTGAAACAATTCATAAAGAATTTGGCCCTTTAAACTATTTTAAATTTATTATTTAGTTCTAGTTCGATCGTTGTAAGTATAGCACAGCTAATTCCCACCGCTAACACCATTTCTACCTTCAACCCCAACCCCATTTCTACCCCTACCCCCAACGCAAAACCGATTTTTACCGCCAACCCCATCCAACCCCTAACCCATATCTCTTATCTCTAATCTCTTATTTCATATCACACACACATTTGGAACATAACGCTTTTTTCGGTTATGTGCCAAAGCTAAGACATGAAACGTCAAAAAATATTTTCAACAATTATGTTTATATTCCATTTTTGTTGCTCCAATATATATTTATAACATCATTGTATTATGTTTATATTTTTACTAAATTGTTATTACTGTCGCAGTTTTGTATCAAAGCATTTACTAAAAAAATAATTTTCCTGACTTTTCATTTAATGTCTATAGACTGATTTGTATATTAAATCAACCCCTGTGTAAACAAACAATTTAAATAATATAATAAAAAAAACACAATAAATTAAAAAATAACATAAACTGGTTAAGTTAAAATAAATGACAGCAAATCCATTTTAAAACCAAAATCTCATGAAAGCAACAATGGTCCTTTAAGAACCGATAAACTGATAATAAGGGTCATAAAAAAAAATTATAAAAATACATGAAATAATAAAACATTTGGATAAGATCATCTGTAAAATATACTATTTGTTAAGATATAACATCTACTTGAACCCTAAACCATAAAAATTATACACTTCTTGAGTACACATGTTACGACAACGATGTTGTTATCGTAACACGTGTATGCAAGAAGTGTATAATTTTTATGGTTTAGGGTTCAAGTAGATTTTATATCTTTACTATATATTTAACCATAACTATGCTTAACAGTTTTTTCTAGATACTATTTGTAATTACAGATTATACAGATGCCTACAACAAAGAGTTACAGACTACACAACACAATTACTACTTTTCCTCAATAATCTAAATAAAGATGGTTAAACAAAACGTTTCAGTTTGTTTGATTCATGATGTTCCTCGACAGCAGCAGCAGTGTTAACTCTCGAGATGCCAAGAAGTAGGTTATTATCATTACCTTATGTTGTAAAACAAAATGTTTACAACTTGTGTGTTCAATCAACCAATTGAGAATAATATGTAGGTAGAAAATACAGGGCTATTTTAAAGACCGGAATATTTTAACTTGAACTAGTACAATATTATACGGGCGATGGCGATACCTTCATGGCCACAAATGAAAATTAAAAAACTTGTCGTTTACCAATAAATGTACTTTTAAGTTTAGGACGGAAGGAAGGTTAAAATTTCTATTGTATTTACCTGCGCGCATTACTCAACCGCAATCGTCCTCACGTCATAAATTTTAAAGTTTAATAACTTAAAAGTCTATTACATTCAATGATATTGACCGGATCATAGTTAACCAATCACCCGGTGCTAGTACACATGGTAATGTTGTCAGATTGTTTTATGTATATATTTTGGTTTATCAAATGTAGGGAGCACTGTATGGGGGGCGGGGGAGGTGTGCTGTACCTTCACGTGGTCTCCCCTGTGAGTAGTGCTTTTGGAGTGTTTAAAGTTATCATACTTAGATTCTCCTAAGGCACGAAACGAAACAGCATTAACCCCACAGCGAGATTTCCTAGGACCTCTGGCTACATTTGCCACCACCAATAAATGTACTTAACAATTTAGGACGTAGGAATTAGTATTATTTTCATCTCAGCGCATTACTCAACCGTAATCGTCATGTAGATCCCTGTGGAGCGGGATTAGAATACCTCCACGGTACCTCTTGCCTGTCGTATAAGGCGACTTAATTGAGGTTGCGTCAGGTTGGTGACCGGTGTAAAACTCTTACCATGTAGGTAGGTAATACAGGGCTCTTGATATTTTATAGACCACAGTATTCTAACTTGAACTAGTACAATATTATACGGGCGATGAAGACAATGCTTGACTTTTATGGCCACAAATGAAAATTTAAAAACTTGTCGTTTACCAATAAACGTACTTTAAAGTTTAGGACGGAAGGAAGGTTAAAATTTCTATTGTATTTACTTGCGCGCATTACTCAACCGCAATCGTCCTCACGTCATAAATTTTAAAGTTTAATAACTTAAAAGTCTATTACATTCAATGATATTGACCGGATCATAGTTAACCAATTACCCGGTGCTAGTACACATGGTAATGTTGTCAGATTGTTTTATGTATATATTTTGGTTTATCAAATGTTGGGAGCACTGTATGGGGGGCGGGGGAGGTGTGCTGTACCTTCACGTGGTCTCCCCTGTGAGTAGTGCTTTTGGAGTGTTTAAAGTTATCATACTTAGATTCTCCAAAGGCACGAAACGAAACAGCATTAACCCCACAGCGAGATTTCCGTGGACCTCGTGGCGATATCGGCCACCAATAAATGTACGCTAATTTTAGTTATCTTCGATAACCCGGTCCATAAAATTTCGGTAATGAATTTTGTCAAAAAAATAAAATCTAATTTTTTCGATAGACATGTCCAAATCTGCCTACATAGTATGATGGAGCGTTTCAGTTCGTTTGATTTATGATGTTCCTCGACAGCAGCAGCAGTGTCAACTCTCGAAATGCCGTGAAGTAGGTTATTATCATTACCTAATCTTGTAATACAAAATGTTTACAACTTGTGTGTTACAGATACCTATTACAACGAGTGCCAGTCAACACAATACAATTACTACTTCTGTCCATCATGTGTCGCAAACATCTAAAAAGCAATTTTAAATCAACTTACTGGTGAATAAAGATGTTTTGGCCGTGTGATGCTACATAACAAAATAATGTATGTAATACATGTACTATCTAGTCAGACATAAAAATGTAATAACTATTATATTCACTATCAGAAAATGTAATATATAATGATAAAGTAATAAGAATGATTAAGTACATGAAATTATTCAACATTTATAAAAGATGATTGTTAATGTATGCACGTCTTGATGTATTACAGTCGTTACGGAACACTATTCAAAAGCTGTAGAAAAGTAACCATTTTATTGAAGAATAATTATTCGTTGGTGTTCTGATGGTTGAATGAAAAAGTCAGTTTTTTTTAATTTGGGTATTATTTGAAATTTCATCTATAAATTACAATTAAAATATCATTTGTATTAATATTGAAACATAGGCCCCGGCGAAGAATTATAGAGAAGCTGCGCGAGTGTCCAAAATTCGAATATCTGAAAAACGACGAGAACTTCCTGTAAAGACAATTAATGAAAAAACAAGTGATTATACTAAATTATTTTTTACTATTATTATTATTATTATTATTATTATTATAACTATAATCGCCATTCAAAATTTATTTATTTTTAACTAATCATACTAATACTTAGTTACTTATGGAATTTGCTCCTGAAAAATCAACCAATTGTGAATAATATGTAGGTAGGTAATACAGGGCTATTTTATAGACCACAGTATTCTAACTTGAACTAGTACGATATTATACGAGCGATGGCGATACCTTGATGGCCACATGTGAAAATTTAAAAACTTGTCGTTTACCAATAAACGTACTTTAAAGTTTAGGACGCAAAAGAGGTTTATCTATATATTTTGGTTTATCAAATGTTGGGACCACTATATGGGGGGCGGGGGAGGTGTGCTGTACCTTCACGTGGTCTCCCCTGTGAGTAGTGCTTTTGGAGTGTTTAAAGTTATCATACTTAGATTCTCCTAAGGCACGAAACGAAACAGCATTAACCCCACAGCGAGATTTCCTAGGACCTTCTGGCTACATTTGCCACCACCAATAAATGTACTTAACAATTTAGGACGTAGGAATTAGTATTATTTTCATCTCGGCGCATTACTCAACCGTAATCGTCATGTAGATCCCTGTGGAGCGGGATTAGAATACCTCCACGGTACCTCTTGCCTGTCGTATAAGGCGACTTAATTGAGGTTGCGTCAGGTTGGTGACCGGTGTAAAACTCTTACCATGTAGGTAGGTAATACAGGGCTCTTGATATTTTATAGACCACAGTATTCTAACTTGAACTAGTACAATATTATACGGGCGATGAAGACAATGCTTGACTTTTATGGCCACAAATGAAAATTTAAAAACTTGTCGTTTACCAATAAACGTACTTTAAAGTTTAGGACGGAAGGAAGGTTAAAATTTCTATTGTATTTACTTGCGCGCATTACTCAACCGCAATCGTCCTCACGTCATAAATTTTAAAGTTTAATAACTTAAAAGTCTATTACATTCAATGATATTGACCGGATCATAGTTAACCAATTACCCGGTGCTAGTACACATGGTAATGTTGTCAGATTGTTTTATGTATATATTTTGGTTTATCAAATGTTGGGAGCACTGTATGGGGGGCGGGGGAGGTGTGCTGTACCTTCACGTGGTCTCCCCTGTGAGTAGTGCTTTTGGAGTGTTTAAAGTTATCATACTTAGATTCTCCAAAGGCACGAAACGAAACAGCATTAACCCCACAGCGAGATTTCCGTGGACCTCGTGGCGATATCGGCCACCAATAAATGTACGCTAATTTTAGTTATCTTCGATAACCCGGTCCATAAAATTTCGGTAATGAATTTTGTCAAAAAAATAAAATCTAATTTTTTCGATAGACATGTCCAAATCTGCCTACATAGTATGATGGAGCGTTTCAGTTCGTTTGATTTATGATGTTCCTCGACAGCAGCAGCAGTGTCAACTCTCGAAATGCCGTGAAGTAGGTTATTATCATTACCTAATCTTGTAATACAAAATGTTTACAACTTGTGTGTTACAGATACCTATTACAACGAGTGCCAGTCAACACAATACAATTACTACTTCTGTCCATCATGTGTCGCAAACATCTAAAAAGCAATTTTAAATCAACTTACTGGTGAATAAAGATGTTTTGGCCGTGTGATGCTACATAACAAAATAATGTATGTAATACATGTACTATCTAGTCAGACATAAAAATGTAATAACTATTATATTCACTATCAGAAAATGTAATATATAATGATAAAGTAATAAGAATGATTAAGTACATGAAATTATTCAACATTTATAAAAGATGATTGTTAATGTATGCACGTCTTGATGTATTACAGTCGTTACGGAACACTATTCAAAAGCTGTAGAAAAGTAACCATTTTATTGAAGAATAATTATTCGTTGGTGTTCTGATGGTTGAATGAAAAAGTCAGTTTTTTTTAATTTGGGTATTATTTGAAATTTCATCTATAAATTACAATTAAAATATCATTTGTATTAATATTGAAACATAGGCCCCGGCGAAGAATTATAGAGAAGCTGCGCGAGTGTCCAAAATTCGAATATCTGAAAAACGACGAGAACTTCCTGTAAAGACAATTAATGAAAAAACAAGTGATTATACTAAATTATTTTTTACTATTATTATTATTATTATTATTATTATTATAACTATAATCGCCATTCAAAATTTATTTATTTTTAACTAATCATACTAATACTTAGTTACTTATGGAATTTGCTCCTGAAAAATCAAACAATTGTGAATAATATGTAGGTAGGTAATACAGGGCTATTTTATAGACCACAGTATTCTAACTTGAACTAGTACGATATTATACGAGCGATGGCGATACCTTGATGGCCACATGTGAAAATTTAAAAACTTGTCGTTTACCAATAAACGTACTTTAAAGTTTAGGACGCAAAAGAGGTTTATCTATATATTTTGGTTTATCAAATGTTGGGACCACTATATGGGGGGCGGGGGAGGTGTGCTGTACCTTCACGTGGTCTCCCCTGTGAGTAGTGCTTTTGGAGTGTTTAAAGTTATCATACTTAGATTCTCCTAAGGCACGAAACGAAACAGCATTAACCCCACAGCGAGATTTCCTAGGACCTTCTGGCTACATTTGCCACCACCAATAAATGTACTTAACAATTTAGGACGTAGGAATTAGTATTATTTTCATCTCAGCGCATTACTCAACCGTAATCGTCATGTAGATCCCTGTGGAGCGGGATTAGAATACCTCCACGGTACCTCTTGCCTGTCGTATAAGGCGACTTAATTGAGGTTGCGTCAGGTTGGTGACCGGTGTAAAACTCTTACCATGTAGGTAGGTAATACAGGGCTCTTGATATTTTATAGACCACAGTATTCTAACTTGAACTAGTACAATATTATACGGGCGATGAAGACAATGCTTGACTTTTATGGCCACAAATGAAAATTTAAAAACTTGTCGTTTACCAATAAACGTACTTTAAAGTTTAGGACGGAAGGAAGGTTAAAATTTCTATTGTATTTACCTGCGCGCATTACTCAACCGCAATCGTCCTCACGTCATAAATTTTAAAGTTTAATAACTTAAAAGTCTATTACATTCAATGATATTGGCCGATCATAGTTAACCAATCACCCGGTGCTAGTACACATGGTAATGTTGTCAGATTGTTTTATGTATATATTTTGGTTTATCAAATGTTGGGAGCACTGTATGGGGGGCGGGGGAGGTGTGCTGTACCTTCACGTGGTCTCCCCTGTGAGTAGTGCTTTTGGAGTGTTTAAAGTTATCATACTTAGATTCTCCAAAGGCACGAAACGAAACAGCATTAACCCCACAGCGAGATTTCCGTGGACCTCGTGGCGATATCGGCCACCAATAAATGTACGCTAATTTTAGTTATCTTCGATAACCCGGTCCATAAAATTTCGGTAATGAATTTTGTCAAAAAAATAAAATCTAATTTTTTCGATAGACATGTCCAAATCTGCCTACATAGTATGATGGAGCGTTTCAGTTCGTTTGATTTATGATGTTCCTCGACAGCAGCAGCAGTGTCAACTCTCGAAATGCCGTGAAGTAGGTTATTATCATTACCTAATCTTGTAATACAAAATGTTTACAACTTGTGTGTTACAGATACTTATTACAACGAGTGCCAGTCAACACAATACAATTACTACTTCTGTCCATCATTTGTCGCAAACATCTAAAAAGCAATTTTAAATCAACTTACTGATGAATAAAGATGTTTTGGCCGTGTGATGCTACATAACAAAATAATGTATGTAATACATGTACTATCTAGTCAGACATAAAAATGTAATAACTATTATATTCACTATCAGAAAATGTAATATATAATGATAAAGTAATAAGAATGATTAAGTACATGAAATTATTCAACATTTATAAAAGATGATTGTTAATGTATGCACGTCTTGATGTATTACAGTCGTTACGGAACACTATTCAAAAGCTGTAGAAAAGTAACCATTTTATTGAAGAATAATTATTCGTTGGTGTTCTGATGGTTGAATGAAAAAGTCAGTTTTTTTTAATTTGGGTATTATTTGAAATTTCATCTATAAATTACAATTAAAATATCATTTGTATTAATATTGAAACATAGGCCCCGGCGAAGAATTATAGAGAAGCTGCGCGAGTGTCCAAAATTCGAATATCTGAAAAACGACGAGAACTTCCTGTAAAGACAATTAATGAAAAAACAAGTGATTATACTAAATTATTTTTTACTATTATTATTATTATTCTTATTATTATTATAACTATAATCGCCATTCAAAATTTATTTATTTTTAACTAATCATACTAATACTTAGTTACTTATGGAATTTGCTCCTGAAAAATCAACCAATTGTGAATAATATGTAGGTAGGTAATACAGGGCTATTTTATAGACCACAGTATTCTAACTTGAACTAGTACGATATTATACGAGCGATGGCGATACCTTGATGGCCACATGTGAAAATTTAAAAACTTGTCGTTTACCAATAAACGTACTTTAAAGTTTAGGACGCAAAAGAGGTTTATCTATATATTTTGGTTTATCAAATGTTGGGACCACTATATGGGGGGCGGGGGAGGTGTGCTGTACCTTCACGTGGTCTCCCCTGTGAGTAGTGCTTTTGGAGTGTTTAAAGTTATCATACTTAGATTCTCCTAAGGCACGAAACGAAACAGCATTAACCCCACAGCGAGATTTCCTAGGACCTTCTGGCTACATTTGCCACCACCAATAAATGTACTTAACAATTTAGGACGTAGGAATTAGTATTATTTTCATCTCGGCGCATTACTCAACCGTAATCGTCATGTAGATCCCTGTGGAGCGGGATTAGAATACCTCCACGGTACCTCTTGCCTGTCGTATAAGGCGACTTAATTGAGGTTGCGTCAGGTTGGTGACCGGTGTAAAACTCTTACCATGTAGGTAGGTAATACAGGGCTCTTGATATTTTATAGACCACAGTATTCTAACTTGAACTAGTACAATATTATACGGGCGATGAAGACAATGCTTGACTTTTATGGCCACAAATGAAAATTTAAAAACTTGTCGTTTACCAATAAACGTACTTTAAAGTTTAGGACGGAAGGAAGGTTAAAATTTCTATTGTATTTACCTGCGCGCATTACTCAACCGCAATCGTCCTCACGTCATAAATTTTAAAGTTTAATAACTTAAAAGTCTATTACATTCAATGATATTGACCGGATCATAGTTAACCAATCACCCGGTGCTAGTACACATGGTAATGTTGTCAGATTGTTTTATGTATATATTTTGGTTTATCAAATGTTGGGAGCACTGTATGGGGGGCGGGGGAGGTGTGCTGTACCTTCACGTGGTCTCCCCTGTGAGTAGTGCTTTTGGAGTGTTTAAAGTTATCATACTTAGATTCTCCAAAGGCACGAAACGAAACAGCATTAACCCCACAGCGAGATTTCCGTGGACCTCGTGGCGATATCGGCCACCAATAAATGTACGCTAATTTTAGTTATCTTCGATAACACGGTCCATAAAATTTCGGTAATGAATTTTGTCAAAAAAATAAAATCTAATTTTTTCGATAGACATGTCCAAATCTGCCTACATAGTATAAGGCGACTTAATTGAGGTTGCGTCAGTATGGTAACGTGTTAATTGTATTTTTCCTCACACGAACTCATGGCTAGGCTGTATGGCGCCTTTCTCCTTGCTGCGGATGTCTTTCTGTAGTCGTGTCCTAATTGTTAAACTTCCTGTGACAACAACGTGGGAATTTAGACCAGGGGGATATATAGACATTATGATATTCCACTACGTTCTGTTTTCAATTTTTAACTGATGAGTTAACACTTTAACCCATTTTCGTTCTCTGATTTCGATATCCTTCAGAATTATTCTATTACAGTTTGTCAGTGCTCGCTGCATTTAAGTTGTTCTGTGATATTAAGGACGTTTTCTTAAATTGCACCTGCACTTCTCATCTCTGACTTACGGGACATTTGTCTGGAGAAACCCTCTTTATCTACGAATGAGTTCTCTACACTGGTTTGCTTTTCAGTTTTCACCTAACCCGCTTTGTTCTTTTCACTAAAAAAACTATATCAAAGTAAGAAAAATACTGTCCATATTATTATACACATGACATGTCAGTGAAAGCAGTTAGTATTTACAGTTTTAACGTCTTAGCATTTCTTTTATCAGTTCTACGATAACCGACGTCCTATGTGTTCGTATGAACTATAGTGAATGCTTTCAATCAGCTCGATTAAATCGGGTATTCGTTTCAAAGTGGACCAGAGAAGGTATTGGTTTCTTAATTGTATTTTTATTTTTGTCTATGGACCCATGATAATTTCATAACCAAAACTTGTGCGGTTGCTGTACCTGTATCGTGTTTACTGTTTATGTAATAAGTAGAGGCTATGGGTGATATTAAATGTATCTACATTTGGTTGAAAGATAATTTAACATTTGAATGAGACATCTTCGGTCAGAATAATCGTACACGAAGACAAACTAATGTTTCGTCAAATACTCATCGGGCTGCTTTCTGTTATAACGTGACAATTGATTACAGTGTAGACCAATATTAATTTACAAAACATATAAGTTGATTAAATTTTAAAACGAATGAATTACATATGTAATAAATAGTTTGCTTCGGTCGTTTATTTTGGAAATATTAGAAGTAGCAACAATTCAATAAATAATCGCTGGGAACACAATTTTACAACACTGACAAGTATTAAACGAGTTTATACTACTGACTACATATAATTAATTTTTGATATGATTTTACTACTAGTAATGATACTGTAAGTATAAAAAAAAATGTAAAATATTTTGGATTAAAAATCAGAAAATTAGAAATGTGGGTTTACTTAAATCGACATTTATTCGGTCATTAGACATATACATGTGCCCATATATCTGCTTGTAGTGTGGATTCTCGTTAACGTTTTAATACATTTTTACCTTTATATAATATGTCCAAATTCCCTATTCTCTTGCAGTTTCCTTGCTATTGGTGAAACTCTCTGTTAAAGTTTATATTTAATAAATATTCTATTAACATTTAGGTTCTACTCGTATAAAAAAAAAATTGATTTTAATGTAAACGGAAAGCGCTATTTATTAAGGGGCAAAGGATAGGCAATATTTGAGAAAAATTGATCCAATAGCCATTTTTCATATACCTACTAATTTAAAAGTGAACACATTACAATTTTCTTACTGTAATACTTTTAAAGTTATTTTTTTCTGAGTTATTACGGTAGTTTGATAAAAAATTACTTTTGAGAAGTCATTTTCTGGCGTATCTATTGGACGGATTTCAATTATTTTTATGCGAAGCGTACTATTTTTTTCTATGGGGGCTAAAAGGCCGATTTTTGATTTAGCGATTAAAAAAGTACTTAGATGTATTAGGAAAAACTATAAAAAAATAAAAATAAATACAAATTTTTTAAAATAAAAAAATCGGTCTTTTAGCCCGCATTTAGAAGATGTTAAATTATAAAACAAAAAATTATTGAAATCGATTTGGTAGACACGTTTTAGTCTCTATTTGTAAAAAAATTGACGCTTTCCGTTCCTTTTAAAATATTATCTTCTTTCATGAACGCTAAACACTTTACAAAAAAATATATTAACAATTTTAGTCATACAGCGTCAAAATTTGTTAAAATAATTTAGAATGAAATATATATATAATTGAACGAACTCTTTAAAGGGAAATTTTGTATTTCTTAAGAAAGAACGTGGTTTAAGTATTGTCTTTTTTATGCCGCCCAGGGCCCCCGCAAGGGGGGGGGGGGGTCAGTGAGTACTAGGGTCCCGGGGCCCGGGCTCTCTGGGGAAAAAACAAAATATAAACATATTATTAATTTAAATTAGAAAAATATAATGAGTCGAGCCACCCCAGTCACTATATCTTTATATAATATTGGTATATAAATAATATTATTTTTTACTATAATACATAATACTTCTTATAATACAAAATGTTGTTTAACAATCTAAATGTATATTATTTTTATTTGATGGGATCGGCCACTTGGTGTCGGTAGGACGGTAGGCGGGTAGGGCGAGCATTTCTTGGAAAAAATAAAAGGGGAAAAAATCCGGGACGATAAAAGCAAAAGTCTGCCGCCTGCCCCTACTAGTGCTATTTTTGGCATTAAAAGATAATAATTCTTTTATCGACGACCAAAGTCAAAACAACCCGCGGTCATAGCATGCATTTTAGTTTTTATCACAACCGTCAATCTCCCGAGTTGTGGCGGTAATTGTGGTACTGTCTACGTACAATATTATTTAAATTAAAATATTTTGAATAAAATACGAAAATGTCATTTTATAAGCACAAATCTGGATCCCAGAAACGGAAATTGAAAATAGAAAAAGATAAAAAAGCAGTTTCAAACAGTCTGGTAATAAGTACATTTTTCAAACCAGTTCAAACCAATACACATTCTGCGAAAACTATATCACATGATAACAAAGTATTAGAAATTGACATCCCTGAACAATCTTGTAACACTTTTAAGCCCGTTCTTACAATGTCCTGCTAAAGTGTCCGTAAAGGTAGAAATACACGAGCATAGAAATGCGAGTGTCTGTTCTTCGCGTGAAATCGAATTTAACGATTTTACTGACCCTGGGTTGTGGCCTCAACAAATTAACGACGATATTCGTCAAAAAATTATTGATGCAAATCCTTTTAATTTCGACAATTTATTAAAAATAAAAAGTACTATGCCTAAAGACTTAGCTGGTAAACAATTTTCTGAATTCTTATTATATACCAAATCATCAAATAACAGAGAAAAACATCCACGTGATTGGCTAATTTATAGTACATTCAAACAAACATTGCATTGCTTTTCTTGTTTATTATTTAGTGATAAGCTTACTGCACCAATAAAAAACCGAAGCGTTTTAAGTAAGAGAAGCGGATTTTCTCCAAAAATAATACCATGAAAAAAGTTATATAATAGGCTTCCATTACATGAAATATTGAAACGCATCGTACTTGTTATTGTATGTGGAAAAATGTACAGCAGTCTTTGTTAGGTTTTGGAGTAGATGTTTATAGAGGTGTTTAAAAGCAATATAAGCTGTGTAACCAATATTTTGGGCACCTTATGAAATATAAAATGTTAGAAATTGTAATAAAATTATTATAAATACTAATATATAATGAGGGCCCGGATTTATTTACAGTACCGTACTTGAAAAATTCATGTGGGCCGCCTACTTTAATCCATTTACCATATACTTCCCATTTTCTATCCTGTATTGTTGACGGAAATATATTTTTGGTTTGTATATAACTTTTTTCCACGTTCAATAGAACATATTTTAATTATAACCATAAAGTAATAAGAGTAGCCGCCGTTCGTATTTTCAAAAAATGTCTATCAATAATTTATAAATTTAGGGCAAACCATTTTTTTTTAAATCTTATTATTTAGAGCAGAAATATTATAAAATTAAAATCGTTAAGTAAGTGATATGAATACGAATGCAGCTGAATTGTAACACTTCTTTTATATGAGTTCTACTTATCAACCTATTTACTATAATATGTTCTTGAAATAAATATTATAATATTTATTTTCTAACTTACTAATTAGATTTGTTACCGTAGGATGAAATATAATATCTATAAAATAGTCACTCTAATGCTTTTAAATTTATAAATACTTAATAGTAGTAAAAGTGTATTGATTTAAACTCGAGATAACATGAATAAATATATAATTTTATAGGGACTTGATAAAATCAATCTGTTTAAAACATAATAAACATGATAATTTAGTAACTCAACAAAATTTTAATTTATAAACATGTAGGAGACAACATTTAACTGGCATTATTCATAACAAAATTAAAAAAAAATTATTAATAATGATTGTGTTAAAAAGCAAAATATTAAATATATAATTACAAATTATTGATCCAATCAATTAAAAAAAATAATTATGATTTTCTAGTATAAATAGTATTTTAACATTTGAGGTGTCTATAATTTAATGCAATATATTGAATGATTTTTTTTATAGACAATATTTCTGAGGTGGGGGCATTATGGGTATGAAATCAACAAATTCATTCTGGGTGAACTCGTTACAATCCATTTTTCCGTACACTTCGGTTTGCATAAGAATTTGAGTTTGAGGTTTAACCGCTTTCTTTTTTTGTTCATTGGCAGGTGCTGCATTATTAAAAGATTGAGTGTTGATATTCGACAAAATACTATTCGCATCATGTGAGGATAAGAATTGTATGGTCATGTTCCAGTAACTGTTTGGATCCATTTGTATAATGTCCTGGTACGAAGGGTTGTTCTTTATTGTTTTACATTTTTCAAGCGTGGCAAGCTGTAAAATTAAAATAGATTTGTAATATTGTATTAGTAACTGGGATGATTTTTCTGAGTTCACTTATCGAACTACACAACATAAGTTAATAGTTTAGTTTGAAAGCAAACAATTTATCACATCACATGTGATAAATATAATATACATTATTTACAGACACACTCTAGTTGCTTTTTAATTATTATTTTGTTTAAAATTAACTTTACCATATCATTTAATACACGTTCTCCTAATGATATTATCTCTTCCTTTTGGCAACGCGCTTTATGCAACAACTTATCATATAGTTGTTTCTAAAGCAATCAAACAAAATAATTGTTATTGAAAAAAACAGTTTTTATTAGTTATGTTCATGGTTATTAAAAAAATGTATTATTACGTGAATTAAAACTGCGTCAGGATTTAATATTTTGGCAAGATAGTGATCACACCTTATTTCTTCATACGAAACTTCTACCAAATTAAGAATACCAATTGGTTGAATGGGGTATGTATGTCCAATAGGATGAGAGCATGTGAATGGCCATACACTTAGTGAAAGTAATTGTTTCATATGTGATTGATAGTTATTACTAAAAAAAATCGAAAAAACACATACATTTACTAATAAATATACTAATTAGAAAAACGGTCAACTTTAAAATCTATACATACATTTCAGTTTCATAGAATTTCAACATTGCTTGTCTTTGATCATTACCATTTTGTGTAAGACTATCCCTGCAAAATATTTTTTTAGTCATCTAATAAATTTGAATGATAATATTTTATAAAAAGGTTATAATACTTTAATTATTCTACTGACCATTAATAATTGACAAAGAAATGTGTTAGTATTATTTTCAATAATACTTAAGTTTTAAATGACTTATTAAATTTATTTTAACCAAATATACACATCTCGACAGCTACCATATTAAAAATGATCAACAGTTAATATAATAATATAAAAACAAGTTAATAAAATGTAACTGTGAAATAAAATCAATGCCATATTTTCTATTAAATTTGCGAATTTGTAGTTAGAAGACAGTAAGGCTGTAAATATCAAGAAAATTAGGCCTAACCCAATAATTGATGATGTAAAGCAAAGTATGTTCTAAGGAAATTGAAGAGTAATCAAAAAGTAACGCATATTAATTATTAAACCAAAATGAATGGCATAAACAAATAATAGGTTATGACTTTTGTTACTAAACGCCATCTTAGAAATGTATTATAAAATCATGTTTGTTTTGATAAAAAAACAACTTCTCAAATGTAAGTTATTGCATAATATTTAAGTAAATTATAAATGTAAATGTCAGTAAATAAAAAAATGTTCCTGATCATTTGATAATTCAAAATAAAATCTGAGTATTCACATAACTCTTAATAGAACAGGATAGTATTTGTAGAGGTGGATACAATTTTGGAGTACTTATTCCGCCATAGCCTGAGACGCACAAGAATTCAATATATTTACAAATTACCTTGTATTATTAAATTTGTTTATCTGACTATATTCATTTTGATTTTCATTATACTTATTGCTAGCGATATTTCTTCTATTATTATGGTTTTGGTTAATATTCATATCGTATTCTCTGTCCGATCTGCGGTTGTTTCGTTGACTGAAGTTGCTTTGTGAATCATACTCATTATTTTTAATATAGTTTTTGTCATAGTCATTTTTTTGATAATAATGCTTTTTGTTATTGTAATTTTGACCATGTGACACATCATCATACTTCTTAGGATAATTGTAACTATCCTCTTCTTTATCATAATAATCATCACCACCGCCGTCTCTTCTGTTATGACGAGTACCTTGATTGTAATATGATCCACCTCCTCCTCCTCCTCTTCCTATAGGATAAATAAATTTCAAATTTAATTTTTTAGTAAATATTTATGATACATGTTAATATAAATTATATTACAGTAATCAAAGTTTGAACATATTTCAATATTGACTTGACGTTAAAAAGAGCTCAACAATATGACATTTACTAATACATAGAACAACAACTCTTTTGTTCTAGTCAGTCGATACATGCATAGTATACATAACAGTAAACAATTCAATAAATTCAAATGCCTGATGAACCAAAAGCATGATAAACAGTAAATAATAAGCATACTATGTTGGGATTTAGTTACTTACTATTGTTTCTTGGTTGATATTCATCATAATACTGGTCGTTTGCACGGTTTTGGCGGTTTTCAGAATGCAAAAACCTACAAGAAGTACCGTACATACAATTGCCTTGTAAGTAATATTTACAAATCCTTTGGTTGGACATTTTCGATAAATTATCGACTACTCTTAAACGTATTAACTTAATACAAATTATAAAAATACACTTAAAAATAAAGAATTCAAACTTTACATTAAAAAAAAAACAAAACGTTAGTTTGAACTTTGACCGGCAATGTCCAGCCGCCAGACAATCGTATAGACAATAGTGTTCTGTGTTACCAGTTATCAAAAAAACACCGAAAACCGCCAAAGGCCTTATCATATTATATTATCTGTTATCAACAGTAAAATGTTTTCTCCGTGACAACCAAGTAACTACACAATATGTATTATTTACTGCATGTATTTACTTTGACGTGGTTTTCTCTAACAAAGCACTGTGCTCTGTGTTACGAATTCGTTTTTAAAATATGTAAATTATTATTTTTGGGTTTTGCAAAACAATTTTTTGACATTCAATAGTAAGCATAGTAACCCGATAAGGTTACTGGGACCTAGTAAGGTAAAGTTACTGGAAGGTTTTTGAACACCCAAAAATAATCATATGTATATTATAGATAATTTAACAATTAATTCGTACCACAGAGCACAGTGCTTCGTGTAAAAAACCATGTCAATGTAAATAGTTACTTTATCACGAAGAAAATATTTTACTGCTGATAAGAGACAATATACAACAAGACCTGTGGCGGTTTTCGGCTTTTTTAATTTATAAAAAGACAAAAGTACTTGGGATCATAGGAAAAATCTGTTTGTAACTTATTGACATGAAATACAAAGAACTCGTGTGTGTGAGAACTTATTATAAATAATGGGATCTTTACTTATTATAATATAATATGTTTTATAAAGACGTTTTTTATTGAAAAATAACCGTTTAAGTTTATTACTGTACCGAATAGGGAAAGTGCATTTATGGACAGAAAATTTAGGAAAGAATAAATTAATAGCGTCATATATAATCTAGTAAAGGTTATTTAACATTTCAGTGATACTATATCTGTCATCTGAAATGGATTACCACTCAATAGAGCAAAGAAAATTAAGTTCTAATGGTTTGGGAACTAAGAAGTGAATATTTGTTACATAAATATTGAGGACTATTTATAAGCATAAGTAGTCAACATTAATCGAAACAAAAGAAAAATTACTGTTGGTAGGTAACTTTCATAGAAAAATAATTTACCAAAAAAGGAGATCGAGGATAATATTACTATGTTTACGTATTCGATTGTGTTGGATTAAAGTGCCAAAAGCAATAGTTTCTGATATAACCAGAGATTAGAGGGTGGAAGCACCGGAACAAAAAGCAAAATCGCCATCATTATTCTATTCTAGTCTAGGTAGATAAAAATCTCCAGCAATTATTAAAGTAAAATTAGCAAAAATTTTTAACAAATAATCAAGTTCATAACAATGTATACTATAAATATCGGCCGGACTATTTGACAGAATATAGTTTAAAACTATAATGCATTTTGTAGCCGCAGTATTAACTTCGACTGCTAAAAATTCAATACCTGGATCGGATAAGAGTAACAGACAAGAGGAGAAACGGTGATGAATGGCTATTAATACACCGCCGCCTTTAATGTGCACACTATTTAAAATATTGCGGTCATTTCTAAGTACGAAACAATCTACCATCCTAATTCTAAATTGAAAATATCATTAGCTAACCGCAATTCCACCAATATAAAATAATCTAAATGATTTAGAAAAATAAAATCTAAACAGAAATTTAAAATGTTCGTTTTCAAACCCCAAACATTATGGTAATAACTAGATAGAATATAAATATTATTACTGCAATTAATAGAAGTATTTTAATCACAATAATTAATAAAATCATTTTTACTTGAAACATGTTTACATGAAATACTTGGTTTTTTTTCTAGTGTTGGTGACCATTTGACAAATTTTACAAACCATGCACTATTATCGATCTTTTTTTTTCTGTTTCTCTCTTTCTTGATGGCTGAGAGGAGGCTTTTTTGATAAGATATTATAGAATATGTTATGTATACATTTTTTTTTACAATATACCATAACTTACGTCTTTTGTATGAAATTAGGTTATGGTTTTGAGAATAATATCCTAAATGTCTATTTTAATTTGGATAATAATAATAATCAAAAACATAAATGAAGAAGCTTAAGTAAAACATTTTTTAATTTTAGATATAAAATTATTAATTAACCAACGCAACGGCTACACTGACCACATGCTAAGATGATACATGCATCAACTGCTTCTCAGCCTAATTATTTTTTAATATAACACTAGCGGACTGTTAAATTTAGCTATCATAAATTATAAACGTAATCTTATTACATTGCTTATTATACTACTTAGAACATATGACATATGGCAACTATTCGAACGTGACGAATGACCATTGACAGAACTATATTATATGACATCGACAATATACATTTTTATTAAAAATAATATTAATGGTATTTTTCAAGGATTACCCACATCAATCAACAGACAAAAATTAATCAAAAATCACAACTCTCAAGATGTACGCTAAATATACTGATATTTACTGGGACACAGTAATTTTTAGTTGAAAGTTTGATGAATAATTATTTTTTTAATTAAGAATATTATTTATTTCAAAAATATTAAATACACTTTATAGACTTAATTTTATCTGTATCAATTATTGTACGTGTGTGAGAAATGTTTTCTAATTAAAAGGTTGAAATCCACTATATACTAAAGATATTTTATAATTTAAAACTATTTAATGTTTTTTGAAAATGTATAGTTTTCTACGTACCTAGATAGAGAACTTAAGTAGGGTTTAAAGTACGTTTAAGGGGATTGCATGCGGTCGGTTTTTTCAATAAAAACACATCATTTTTATTTCATTGCACAGACTGAACCAGTGATCCGATAAGCAATCTAAAAACAGATTTTAATTCGCCTTGAAGTTTACTTATGATCGGTCAAGGTACTTTTTTCAATTTTCAATTTTAACCCTTTCCAAATTTGATTTTATATAATTTGAAATTTTATATAATATTCAAACGTGTTTTATACATAGTAGGAATAAAATATCAAAAAAGTACTCTGACCGATCAGAAGTAAACTTCATGACGAATTCAAATCTATTTTCAGATTACTTATCAAATCACTTGTTCAGCCTGTGCGATAGAACAACAAATGTACGTTATATTAATTAAAATGGTTTTTACTCATAGAAAAAATAATTTAAATTAAAAATAATACCACGATGCTTATACAAATTAACCGGTAAATTAATTGGCATGGTCGAAATTTATTAAAACCACTTTTTTCTTAAATATTGCCTACACAAAACCCTCTAAAAACCAACCGCATGCAATCCCCTTAAAAGTTATAGGTGGCACCTTCACTGTTGGTTTAGAGTAGAGTTAAATGTACAATTGTATTATTTATTTATCTATGAAACGGGTTTTCTAATAAAATACATGTTATGCTCCGGAAGCTATCAATACTTATTATGTTATCTTGTTATGTTACCAATTCCCAAATTAATATATTATTATTTACAAATAACCCCGTTTAATTAAATAGTTTAAGTTTACATGCGAAAATTAAAAATAAAATAAATTATTTCGTGGTCAGTCACTTCTAATAAACATTGTCTATTGTACTATAACTATTTATAAGGGTTTACTTATAGGTAGATGTTTCCGTTTCATAAGCGATACATATTATTAATATTATAATTTGTTGATATATTAATGTGTTAGTGTGTGCATTGAACATTTTAACAGAATTTACCGTTCATAATATATTAATAAATAAAAACGAACGACGAATAGATAAACTCATTATAGCCAAACGATTTTTTTTTATGGTACAAATACAAACTATATACCTAACCGGTTAAATCCAAAAAGACAAAAGTACGTATCAATGCTTGTTGATTTTAATTAAACTGTATGTAAGTCCCTAATAAAAACATGTAGGTACATTTTTATTTGTATAATGTAAATTATCGCTTGACTAGAGAATTAAAGAGATTAAGTAACGACTTAACTAGTGAGTATTTATAAGTACCCTCTACCAATGAGTGTATACATGGGTAATGTTAGCATATTGAGACCAATAAATAAGAATAGATATAAATATTGTGTTATTCGCACTCGCATCACTATGGTTGTTTTTCTCGTATTAAATGCATATAATAAATAATAATGTATTAATTATAATATTTAAAGCGTAAATATAACACAATGACGTATATTGTTCAGCTTTATGTAAATGTTATCAAATATTAAAAATATTAAATTTAATAATAAACTGAGATATTTTAGTTATAACCGGCAAGCTTCTATAAATGGATCAACTAATTACCATAATCAACGTCATAAAAAAAAAATTTGTGAAACATAGCTTATAGTATATAAACTATTCAATATACGATTATACACACCGTATAATACTAGTTTATAAATACTTTTTTACTATATAGATATAGTTAAAATTATATAAGATTGTAGCAACTTGCAAGATTACTTTGTCTGTAATAATATCTGTATAATAGGCTTAATGTTATGCAGCTATATCAAAACTACTCACAAATTAAAATATTATAAAAGTTTTTGCGAAATACATTTTGATTTTTGGATGGTCAAAATTTGGGAGCAGGCTTTTTTGTGTGTTATTTGGAGGGGATGGTAGCGTTCTTAAGCTGTAGATTTGAGACTACTTCTATGTCCCATGTACGCTATGGAATACAAGTTATAGGTATAGTATTAGCGCATTTGCAATTAGTTGAAAAGTTTTTATTTAATGTGTATACTTATTATTAACAAAACTATATATTTAGGCTCTAGCTATCACAAAACATAAAGGGTTTTTACTTAATGATCTCTTCGTTAAATAAACACAACTCTGTTTATTTTTAACTACATAACCAGCATTTCGTTTGTACTGCATCTATTATGTGTGTGTGTGTGATTTTGAATTGTTTTTCTATTTGTTTTTATGTCAATATTTTAAATATTAACTATCAAGGGACTAATACTAGCCAATCAAAATGACACTGAGGGTAGGACGCAGGATGGTGAGGACACATCGATGAGTCAATTTACATACGACCAGTATATTCATATAATATAGTATTACAAACTAGTTCATAATTGATGCCAGGTGAATCATCTTGTGATACAACCTATAAGTTATTACCTATAAAATAATGTACATAGGTCATTAACTGGTTTGCCCACCGTTACGTTGCTGAGAGATAAAAAACTTTCCCGCCGCACTGCGTATTAAAAAAAATATCACAGAAAGTCAAAGACAATTAAAATATTAAAATGTACATATTTTTACAGATGGACAAACGGCTCGTTAAAACATATGAGTTATCATTAATAATAATATTGCCTTTTGCGTCAGTAGATGTTGCCTTTAGACGTTAAGAGGACTTCATACCCTTTAAAAATAATCGTAAAATCGTGTTTACGGGAAATCCTGTAGATCAAAGCGAAGTCATCATAGAAAAAAACAATTTGATACCGTTAAAAGAGAAGTCCTTTAACTAGGCTCTATCCTCGGTTATTTTATAAACTTAAATTTGACCTTAAATACATACACTTCAAAAAGCAAAACAAAATTCAGAATTAGAATATAAATTGTGAATGTTAATACAAATATACAAAGCCGATGAGAGAGTCTAGACAAATTTCTCATTATCTAGAATTAGTAAAAGTAAAAATAAATATTCTACGATTATTATTTAGTCAATAGTAGAGTATATGCGTAGCTATGTTTAGATGAAAAACATGTTTTAAACCACTGTCAAAGATGCTGTGATAGTCCGAAAAATTAAAAAGAGTCCTAATTACTGAGATTTTTTTTGATTATGTTAACATGACAACCGATATTAATTTGGTGTTCTTGTGATTCCGTTTCTAGTAAAATTGGTCTTGAGAAAGTTATAAGTGTCAGTGATTTAGCAGTGTTTTTTTTGTGTCTACGCTCACGATGTTTTCTAAATAGCTGAACCGATTTCTTTGTGTAGCAAGTCAATAGATCACAAATCGTACCTGAAGGGTATTCTTTGAGCAAACATTAAATAACTAACTTGACCCCTTGGCCCTCCCTTTAAAAATTGTGAAAATTAACCAAAAAATGTACATATTTTTTTTTAACTTAAAACAACGCGGGTCTATTACTTTTTTTAAAACAGTCAAATTAGTTCCAAATTTATACGAAATATTCTTTAGGCATAGTATTGAAAATAAATGTACATATTACATTGACAAAACAAACAAATATTTAAAAACATTTCCCCCAGAAGGGGTGGAAACTTTTTTTTTGTTACGCTTTATAGGGGTAGTTTAAGTCTTAAGGTCTGAAAATTAGGCTAGAGGTAGATTGACGAGCAGAGTAGGGCTATAACATATATTCAATTTTCTCAAGAATGTGTAGTCAGTGGTCGTAAAACATCATTATAATGTACAGATTTATACCGACTTTACATAATAAGGTCTGTTCCCACTGTGCCCCGGTCCCAGACCCCACTGTATTGGTTTTCTGCATTATTATTATTGCCCGGTTAATTTTAAATAGTTCTTTTAATTCCTGAAAAAATGGTCCATAGGTTGGCATGTGTAAAATACCTACGTAATGTGTGTACGATAATAGTTGCGTGCGCTGTAGCCTTAAGCCTGGTCTTAGGAATTGGCTACTAAAAGTGTACACCGTTTTTTTTTTTATCTATTATAGTGTTGACATCGCTGTAGAAAATATTAATATAATAATAATTATAATGTTTTATAAATACAATCTTACACACGACCAGTGGATAAAACGTTTTATGACTGACGGCTAAAGACCAAGAGGGAGCGTTAAACATTTTTTTTGCCTTCTCTCCTCGACCTCGTGACATGACGTCACCTCGGTAGCAACGACAGGAGATTGAACTTTTTTTGTTCGTTCATTATGTACAGTATGCTCAGTTTGTTTGTTATATTAAACTATTAATTTCTACGGTACGCATTTACGTTGACGACCATGACGTCGGCAAAATCCGTTGATCCGCCCGCTTAAACCCTATCGAAACTTTTATGAAACAATTTTTTTAGGAGGTATGTTATAATTTTATGAAAAACGCTTATATCTAATAATAGCTGTAGGGTGTTAAGCTGTAAACGACAAGTGATAAGCCACGGCACACGTACAGCTGTTCAATTTTCATTTTGATTTTTTGTTCACTTTGGCGGCCAATAGGTATACAGTATACACTATACAGACAATACTTATATTAACGCCCTCGGGCCGCGGGAGGCCGACGAGAGTCGAGACGGCGGCGGTTGGGGCCGTAACCGTGCGCGGTGCGGTAAGTGGTTATCTCCCCTTCCCCGAACCGTTGTTTGGAGTATTCCATCGCAACGTCTCTCCCCCCTTTTCTCCGTCCGCCACCCATAGCTTGTCAGCTGCTCGGACGCCAGCGCAGGGGCCGCTGCCGTCATTATCTCACGTCCGTGTGGTGTGGGCTCGTTCGCAATCGTGGGCGTCTGTGTGTCAGCGCAGCAGCGTCGTTTGATAATTGATATTGTTATTTGTTATTTTTTATTATTATTATTATTATTATTGTGACTTCGTTTTTTTTTAAACCACTGTCGCGTGTTATACAGCGTAAAAACGTTTGGCCACGGCCTCTGTCGTCGTGCCATCCTCATCGTGCGCCGAGGACGTGTGTGTGAGAACCTGACACCGCATTTGGAGTTTTTCGTCCACGCGACAAGTATTATAATATTTGTCGTCCACGTTTTGTTATAGCGAACATCATGTTAACTAAGAACCAGCTTCCGTCGTGGTCGCCTGTACAAATTTCGACTACTATTGCCACCGTCCCTTGCACGCTGGCCGTCAGTTTTTGACGACCGACTACTCTGTACGACACACAGGTGATTATCGATGAGCGGTACAGCACGCCGTTGCATTACCTAAAAACAAAAGTGATCATTACTTAGGTCTTAGATTATATCTGACAATATCTTATCTGATACTTTTGATTCCTTCATTGGTCTTTAACGAATCTGTCACCTAGCTCGCCTGACCGTCAGAATAATATTAACGTTGCAGATGATATTGATTCCTTAAAATTTATCAAAACTTATGCTCAAAAGTCCTTAATCTATTATTTAAATATTTTGAGGTGGCTAGGAAAAAAAAAAAGAAACTTTTACAGTTAAAATAAATGTATAGATTTATTTATCATAATATACAAATCTATATGAGAACCATACTTTTTTCTCTCATTAATATGATTTGTATTATTTTAATTATTAGGTCCTATCAAATTATATATATTTTAATAAATTCCAAATTACAAGTATTCTGAGAGGATTTATTTGTTTGATATTGAAAATAGTCTCAAAATACTAGAAATATTAATTAAATGTTTAGCTCTTATTTATTTATATTTATACATACATCAAATATGATAAATGTTATCGAGTCCAAAAGTTATTGACTATATTGAAATTATGATTACCTATCATTGTTTATCAAAAAAAAAAAATGAATTTAGTGTATCATGAATTGCATATAAAAACAATTATTTTTGTTATCAATTATACAAGATAATAATATGTATAATAAATTCATACAAAATAAAGTAATTTAATAATATTAAGTATTTGTATGTTATATCTGTTAGAAGTAGTTAGGTATATTATAATAATATGTTCATATTACTAAGTACTCGATTGAATTTCGATATGTCCTAAGGCCTGTGCAAGTAATGGTTGATGTATTGTATTTTTCAGATGGAGTAAATTTTATTAATTTCGACCAAAACATTTAATCATTCACAACAATCATCAGAAATGGCTATTATAGTTTTAACAGATTATACATTTTGTTTAAACGAGTAATAACAAGAAAACATCCTAATAATGGAAAACAGAAGATCTTGGAAAGGTCAGCTGTCTCTCAAAGAGTCTGACCATCGTAGATATTCAGATTCAGAAGAACACAAGAGCAAGAATTCTACATCAAGTAGTTCAGGTAAGGGTAATTTTTTTCTTATAATTAAGATTTTTAGTGTATTTTGTGGATACTTATATTTAAGAATTAAAACTGTATAAAAAGAATATTAAGTAGGTATGTTATAAATAATCATTAATTATACATAAGTACCTGGTACACATATTTGATTTTGATTATTATTGAAAACATATCTAACCTAATAAAATATGTTTATTTTGATTGTTTATTTGCCGTGTATTCAGTAGATTTTATTAATAACAATTGCCAATTAAGGACAATGTTTACACATATATAGATATAATTATTATTACTATATTAGCTCTACTGATTAATCATTCTAATTTATATTGGTTATAACATTATGGTTGCAGAGAGCTTATTTCTTTAACTATTTTATTAATATTTATCCTATTCAAATTAATATCTAAAAATTACATGAATTTGTTATATTTAACAAGTATTAAAAAACGTTTCTTAATCGATAAAAGGTCTTTTATGTAATTTTTTAGTTCCTTTAAACAAAATGATTGAAAGAAAGTTGCTTAGTTTTTTTAGCTTAAAACTTGATTTATAATGTTATGTAAAATATTGAATAAAACGGTGTTCAAATATATTCGGTATTCCCTTAGGTAAAGTAAACACAAAATGTCAGGGCCTTTGTTTTGATGGTCAATATTTGTATGCTACTGTGTGGTTACAAAAAAAAAAAAATTAAGAAAAGCGGTTCTTTTAATGATTACTTTATTTCATAACGGAAAAGGTTATACACCAAACACCTTCTTCATCTAAATACCCCACTGTAACTATGTACTACACTGTGAACTATGTTGTATGAAATAAATATAGATAATACAAAATCAAATATTACCAAAAATGTATAAATAAACTCAAGTATTTAAAGATATAACGGTCCTCTTAGAGTTGTATGAAATCAGAAATTATGAAAATAAAATAAGACTTTATTTATTAGAATTAGTAGGCAAACAATCATAATCCTCTCATTGTTTTGTAAGCTACTTTGTAGCTATCTAATCACAATTGTTATTAGTATTTTATTTCCTTGATTTATTTGTTATAATAAGTTTCATTTATTATTATTTTTTTATTGGTTTGTAGATTTTTAGGTTAACATTATATTATAAAACCTATAGTGTTGTTTCATATTTTAAATCAATACATGATAGAAATATAACAAAGTTAAGTATACAATCCAAGCCTCTGAGATCGCTTTGAATTCTCTATTTTAGTTTATTTAGTATGTTACATATTATTATGTACAAATCAGATAAAGTTGTTGTAAATTAGCTTTACAGTGTTCAATATTTCTCTGTGTAGAAAAGTCACTTTTGACATCAATCGATCAGTTTACTTTCTTGCTTAAATATTATATTTAATCATGAATCAATTGAAAACTGTATATATTTATCTAGTTTGCCTGCCATGGTGTTACTTATCTGGTTTATTATGATTATTAATGTTCAATTAACAAAGTTATTGCTTTGGGGTTTTTTAATATTAAAATATTTAATTGTTACTAAAGGTAATTTAGTCTAATGGGTCTTATCGCTCTTATCGACTCTATTTAGCCTCCATTAATATAAGACTATTTCAATACCATCCTCTGAAACAATACATCCATGTATTATATTTAATAGTGAAAAGTTATTCAATAACTAATGATGGGTTATTATATAAATCAAACGACAGAGATGTATGGCTATCACGACAAGGCCTGCCTATAGATGAAAAAAAAATAGTTAATCATTTTTCAGTTTATCTTTTTAATTGATTTAGGTGTCAATAAAATAATACAACAAATAATATATTATGAAATATAGATAGTAGGTATTTACCTGTACTAATGTATAGGTTTTTGTGTTAAACTATTGTTTTATTATCTGGCTTATTTTAGAATGTAGAATTAGTACACTAATACACTTATACACTAATATAGCATTAGTGTAACAACAGATAAATAAAGTAGGTTATTTTTTTACCAAAAAACATCGTGTTTTATATTTTAATGATTTACATATAATAATTAAGTCAATGTGGCCTTTAAGTGTTCGTTTAGCTGAAAATTGATTAATTTTAAAATGGTGATTGATAGTTGTGTCTAGATCTAGATGACTATTAACCACTGTATAGATTTCTTCATGAAGTCAGTTGTATACTCAGGTGCAAAAGTTTATAAAATTTACCCCTTTACTTAAAAACAAAAAAAAACACTTTAAAATTGTGATATTTTTCAATTGAAAAATCTGACACTTCGATTACTTTTTGAATATAATATACACGTGACCTCCTCGACCCCCCCTGATCCGATCTCCCATGCTGGATTTCTTTTGATCATCGTTATAATATTGATGAGAACCATTAGAAATTACCATTGTTCTAATTTTCGTTATTATCTAAGAATTAGGGCGCGTGAACATCTATATAAGCGTATACTTGTCTTCTAGGGTTTAGATTACATTTTATATTTTTATACTTAGGAAGGTTAGTCGATGGAATTTCAGACTCGACCTGTTGCTCCGTTTCAGGACTCGGGCCAAATGGTCCGGACAAGTGAACACTAAAGTAATTGTGTATTGAGGTTATCCCTTCACGGAGGTATGTTTTGTATTCCGTTAAGTTATGTTTAGCAACATAGTTTAATGCATATGTTGGTATTAGCAGTGAGGTAGGCGGAGAGGAACGACATTGTGACATTTAGCCATAATGATGTGTGGGTTATGCATGTACCAGTGGCGTTTTCTCGGAAGTTCTATAAACTCGCTGACCACGACGCATTATGGCGGTTTATAAATACATTTCTATAGTGTTTTGTTTGTGTGGGTTATTATATAGATGAAAGGTAATCCCATTTTCCAGGCGAAAACCGTGCAGAACTCGCTGTATTGTAGCTGTAAATAGTGCAAATTTTCTAAGCAAAAATCGATAAAGTACTTTGGAAAAAACCTGTAAACCTATCCTGTGGTGTGTTTTACGGGCTTTTAACTCGGAAATATAATTATATGTATAACGCTAAAAGCCTCTACGTAAAAATACGATTTCATTATAGATTACTGTATTTAGGTTAACACATACTGACAAAGCCATAACAACGACGTTTATAACGTAAAACTGATAAGTTTCGACAAAAGGACTTGTCTATTATAATGTATATAAATACTTGCCACATTCGAGAACCGTGCATGCGATAAGTCGTAAAAATATTTACATTTAATTATTATTATTATTGTATTTGATTTTTTAATTCCACAAATGATAGTGGTAAAATCACTTAAAAAAAATACGCTACAACACAAAACTATCAATTGTGATAAAAATATTGATATTTTAAGTCGTATATTTTATGATTTTTTAAGGAGATTAGGTGAATTTGTTCACTTTTGAGCTTACTAAGTATTTTTCGTGTAAATTAATGAGATGGACGAACTTGTTACATGGAAAAATCGGCCCAGTTATTGTCAATGCAGCGATAAAAATAAATACCTGCTTCTTAGCTACGCTAGAGCTATAAATATTATCGATTTTTTTTCTTAAACATTTACTGTAAAAGTATAATAATATAATTGTATTGTAATTTAAAGTTAATAGAGGCGCCTATATTATAATTGCTAAATAACCACCTATATTCAATTTTTTAATGACCGCTAAGGCCATTTGAGGGGAAAACGCTAAAAACAAACACATACTCACTAATAGTTTACATTTATTTTTCTATTTTTATTTAGCAGTCGGCAAGTTTTATAATTAAAATGTTTACCGACACTTCAAAAAAGTAACGTCTACTGTCTACAGAATGTCCATGCCGCACGTTTACTAGAGTTATTGTCTTTTTTTATTATAGTGTTGGTATACTTTTCTAAAACATTGTCTTAAATCTTTGTTTGTAAGTTCATTAGACTTTAATAAAATAAAATAAATAATACCGTTATCTTGATTTATGGGTGGATGATATTATTATTATGTTGAGGTATTTTTTTACGTTTATTACCAGTTATTACTTCGTGTGTTGTCTTCATAGTTTGTTAAAACGCTTCTTAGTGCTGATATTTAATAATTTTCTTTTAAAAAAATCCCGTTCATCATAGTATCCAATATAACGATTATTAAAGTATAATTTTTAAATTATACGAGTATAGTCTGTGTCGTAACATGGCGTCTATTGGCTTGGTATGTACTCTTTATAGCATAGCGTTTCTCTAAACAAACTCCAACTGCATTTCATTGTAATGTTAATGTACAGCCCAATCAATTTAGAATATGATACAGTATAAAATGTATTTGTCCGCGGTATCTCAACCAATATATTAATTGTACATTTTTCAACACTATAATATTAGCTCTTCTCAAATGAATTGTATTATCGCCAGTTTTCGATTTTCAAACGCAACCTTCATATTTTTATTTTTAGCACGCAATTTGACTTTGCAACTTCAGCAACTCTGGTGCTGAAAATTCTGACAGGTCGATATGTAATTTTAATTAGTTATTTCCTGGCCACTTAAAAACATAGTTCAGTGTATTTATCCTATGTGTAGTCACTTTGCTGTACTCAGTCACCAACATAGCTCACTTCGCCTATTTTTTTAACGCTTCAAAAACATTATAACGATTGTGCTACATAATAACGTGCACAAATATTATATTTAAAATGTTGTTTTATCTTCATTTATTAACAAGCACTTGTTTGTCTGCCAAAGGTTAGCATAGGGAATTGTTATTTTATTAATTCAGTCAATTACATTTTGGTCAACAATGCTGTTAGGCATTGTTATATCTTATCCACTTTTCTATTTGAATGTTGCGTCATATAAAAAATGATAATATTATTTATGTATGAGTTTTTTTTGTATAAAAAAATAGGTTCCAAAAGGCCATAAAAACGATGTAGCCGTAATGTCCGAAGTCACGAGGGGAGTTCTTTTATATTATGTGGAACATGCAACACTGGCTCTTAACGTTATAAAAAATGTGGTATAACTTTATTTTTTACTTTTTGTAAAATA